TCAGAAATTCCCGCAAGGTATCACTGATAGAAAGCAGTTCATAATACATGTTAATACGAATGAAGATATCGTTTCGAAAATGGTACCGTTGTTTCTGAATGTAAATCAGAGTAAAATATTAGTTATTTATGGAGTTTTCAAGTTAGGTTACTAAATGGTGAGTTGAAAAGGACATAAATATCATAGACATATCACCATTATGAGAGACTTAACTGTATTTCTTTGGTTTGTTGATCCAAGCCTTGACCACGCAAAACTGAAGTTCACAGCAAAACTCCGGCCAATCAAAGAATGTGTCAGGCCTCTACGTCACAGTTTATATTTTCAACTTTACCTTTGGTGAAGGCCCGGCATGGCCAGGTGGTTAGGGCGCTCGACTCGCAATCTGCGGGTCCCGGGTTCGAATCCCCGTCACACCAAACATGCTCGCCCTTTCAGCCGTGGGGCGTTATAATGGTACGGTCAATCCCACTATTCGGTGGTAAAAAGAGTAGCCCAAGAGTTAGCGGTGGGTGGTGATGACTAGCTGCCTTCCCTCTAGTCTTACACTGCTAAATTAGGGACAGCTAGCGCAGATAGCGCTCGTGTAGCTTTGCGCGAAATTCAAAACAAACAAACCTTTGGTGAAAAAGTTATATTAAATACCTAAATGTTGTTACTGATAATTATGTTATTCGGAAACAAAATTTTGAATTACTTATTTCTATTTATTGTCTTTGCCTAAGCTTTTAAGTTTAGTTTAAATTTGGAAAGTTAGTCATATCCAAAAACCTCATTAATTCACTTGTGGTTTAGCGAAAGATCAAAAGTTATAACTTACGTGTTATATTATTCAGCGTTGTGATAAATAAATCAACAGACTAACATTTATACCAATCGCCACTTGACACGTCATTTGGTCAACGTGGCCAATAGCCATGTGTGTAGTGACTTACGTAGCTATGTATGTGATAACGTTTTCAATCGATGTGTCCATAAGTCAAAATACTAAACAGCACAAGCGCTTTAGTTAAATCATGTAATATATGTTAGAGCAGTTTACACTCCGTGATGATTTTGGGACAACAAAAACATTTAATTTTTTTATTGAGTTATGTCACGGCTATTTTCAGGTTCTCTCTCTCTTTCGTTTTTTTTTTTTTAAGTTTTCAAACAAGAATAGAAATCACTGTCTATACCCATGTTCAATTTTTTTAATCTGTAATTATAGAAAGTCCAACTACGACTTTAACACGAAACAACAATGCGATAATGGCAACAGGTTACATGAGAAACCTGCAACATGAAACAACAATGTGATTAGGGCAACAGATTTTATAAAGGACTTTCAGAAAGATGTTACTTTACTATATTTTGCGTTACACTTATAATTATAGAATAAACTGTTAATATCTTCGCTGTTCAGGACAAACCTTTTATTCTCACACACACACACACACACATAGACGAGGGATGATAAAAGAAAAAAACGCGATCTGCTTACTCACGGGCTGAGTAAACAGCGACGGGGGCATGATCATCTTAACAGTTCGCTGGTTGAACATACTCTCTTGCAATATGATAATACCAAGCCCCACATTGATCGTCATGTAACTATGTATGATTATTGACTGGGCAACAAATGATCCGTAACTACACACTATTTGTTTTTTACCACCACATTTTCATTCTACCGAACTGGTGCCACCGTTCCCTCTCCCCAGTGGCTCAACGCTAAAAATTGGGTTTCGTTACCCATGGTGGGCTGATTATAGATAGTCATTGTGTTGCGTTGTGTTTTACAACAACCAAACGAAACGAATTGGTATGATGACACATAGTAACGTGGAAAGAAATACATCGCACTTCTCAACGAAGATTGCGTCACGAAATTATCTGTGGTTGCCTACTTCGAAAATATCGTCGGCATGCGTTAGTTGGTTGTAAAATGGGTGCTTGACACGAAGGAAATAAAATCTCTATTATTTCTAAATATCCTTCTTAGATTGTTTGTTTGGTAATGATTTCGTGGTAAAGAGTATGAGTTTGTTTGTTTGTAGTTAAGCAGAAGGCTACACAATGGCCTATCTGTGCTGTGCCCGCCACGGGTATCGAAACCCGATTTCTAGCGTTATAAATCCGTAGAACTGCCGCTGTGCCACCTTGTTGATGATGATGAATTGTGGGTGATATCTGTTCAAAAGAAAATGCTCTAAATGATTTGGAATAAAGATTATATTCCCTCCACCCCTAAAGTATAAATTATACAGTCCTTTTTGCTGAGCAACGATAACGTTTCTGTTGATATCATATTATTTGTTTGTAATTAAGCACAAAGCTACACAATGGGCTATCTGTTCTCTGCCCACCACGGGTATCAAAACCCGGATTCTAGCGTTGTAAGTCCACAGACATGCCGCTGTGCCAGTGGGGGGCGTTGATATCATATTGATATTTTCTATAACCTTTACACAAGCATACTTTGTTTATCAGACAATAAGCTACACATTGGGATATCTGTGCTGTGCCCACCACAGGTATCGAAACCCGATTTTAGCATTATAAGCTTACCGCTGAGCCACTGAGGGACTAGAAGCATAGAAGCTGGGTTTTTTAATAAAAACCGTTTGTAAAAATGCTCTGTTTCCAATTTTTCTGCGAAAATATCAAGAATAGATAGGTTATTTACATAAGTTTTAGCGACAGAATTTTTTTGAATTTAGGTATTTGAATTTGAATATATCACAAACTCTTCGCAAAAGAAAGTTCATTCCAAAACATAAAACATTCATCTGTACTTCGAAGCCAAGTAAAGAAACAAACAAGAACTATCATTGATCGGCGAGTGGTTATTGTCCTCCAAATGAACCACATCTTAAATCAGCCAGGAGGTGGTAACCGTAGTGGTGCGTATAGAGGGCAGTAGCTTTCACGTCCGATATAAATCTGTAATATACATGGAACATTTGCTTTGGCAGACTCAACAAAAAGTTTCAAATTCGTTACATTCAATGAAGTACGTTCTTATTTGATGTGTAAAACGCGAATCAAAATTAAAGCAATACGTTTACTGAATTACAACGCTGGACACAGTGGATAACCAATGTGGCTTTGCTCTCAAAAGGAAAGAATAAATAAAGCTATTTTAGAATTTTTATCAAAAAATTAAATATTTTTAATTTTACTTCCTCCCCTTCATCGATACTATTTCTAGATAATCAATAATATTATTGGTTACTTTTATTGTTGTGTTTGGCTCACGTGAATAGAACGTTCTTTTGATCTTGTTTTCTTTCTGCTATGCCTAATTTTCCTTATTTTATTATGTCTTATGATGTCCTAAATAAATAGTCGAAACGTTACATGGCCATATTTATATATATATATATATATATATATATATATA